TGGAGAGTGGCTGGGATGTTCTGCTGCTCCCTGCCAGCCAACAAACCAGCCAAATCCACCCCTTTCCCCGTCCTTGCCGCAGCAGATGGGAAGAGGTCCCTGACATCCCTGCTGACCCCTGCCCCCTCCATCCTGGGGACCCCCCAGCACCCTTTCCCTGGGGTCGCAGCCATGGGGAGGGGTTTGAAAACACCCCATCGACCCGTCTGCAAAATGTTTGTAAACCAAAAGCATCGGCGCCAGCCCCATGCCGGGGGGAACCCGACCTCTACCCCCCCCCCCAACCCCAACAGCCTCCCAGTCCCTGTTGTTGGGGGTAACCCTATACTGTGCTGGTGGCCCCTAATGCAGGACGTATAGATCTGTTGGGGCTGGACGCCTCCTACCCCCAACTAATGCAGCCGATGAGACTTCATTATGGGGGTGTCCCCTGAGGAGTGCCCTTCGCCCTGCCTTCCTGGCTCTACCGGGGGGGGGGGCAAGTTGGGGAGACCCCATCCGTGGTGGGGCAGAGATGCATCTGTCCCTGCATCTGTCCCTGCACCCCAAATAACAAGACCAGGGCTCCCCTTTGGGACATTACCCACATCCAGGGGCTGCAGCATGTGGCAGGGGGGGGCGGGGATGCCTCTTCTGCTGCCTCTGGCCTGTGAAGGGAAACACAGAAAGGCGGAAAGCGCCCGAGAAGATTTATACTTGTTTAATTAATGTCAAATGTAGTTTACAAACGGGAGTGACAAGTACCTCTTTGTATAATATACACTGACACACAATCATCGACACACCAGAATATCGCTTTGTGCAACTGGGATTCTTTGGGCAAAGATAGGTTAATTCCGATATTTCATTATTTTTTTTTTTTTTTAAAATCATTTAAATTCATTACAGAAGAGGGGAAGCAGCGGATGCCTGTTACAAACCGGGATACCTCTCTCCCCAGCCTTCCCCCTGCAGCCCCCCCCCCTTGAAAACAGGGGATGGCTTTACAATTAAAACAAAAAAATAAACAAAAAATAAAACCCCAAAACAAAGAACCAATGACTAGTTAACATGTGGTTTTACACATACGTACATAGAGCACATGGCTGGTCCACAACACCTGCCAAAAAGCCTGGCTCCCTCCCAGGGCCTATTTCCAAGGAAGGGCTGGAGTGGGGGTGTCCTGCCCTCTTCCCCCTTCCTGCTGCCTCTCACACCCACACACTGTACCCTCTCCAAATCCGTCTCCGAGACCTCAGCACTGGCACCCAGGCACCGCAGCCCCGGCTGGGTGTTGCTCATAGCCCAGCCATGCGCCCCCCCACTTACAAACCCAGACCCAAGTTCTGCATGTCTGCCCTTTCCCTGCCTGAGTGGTGCTGGCGGGAGGTTTACCCAGCAGTGACAGCCCACTGCTGTGGCCCCTTCCCCTGCCCGCATCTCCCCCCGCCCGGGGAGGCAGGACCCTCTGGAAGTGCCTCGGCCTCCTCTGGTCCCCAGGAGCTCTGCAGGGTTGTGCCCCTGAGCAGGGGAAGCTGCAGCTCTCTTGGTCTCAAAGGCCACCACACTGCTACAAGCTTGGCGACCTGGGAAACTCTCAATTAAGAATTGTCATTTTTTGCCAAGATGCTTATAAAATACATAAAATACAACTCTTATTTTTTTTTTTTTTTTCTTGTGCAGTGGGATCCTTCTGAGATCACTCAGGAGATGTCAAGGACAGCAGCTGCCCCCTGCAAAACAGCATCATGCTCAGGGCAGAGCAGTGGCAAAGGGACAGTGACCCCAAGGCCTCCTACCTCCCCAGCCCTTCCCTCTCCAGGATCACCCTGGTAGCCCAGTGGCACCAGGGTCCCAGCTCCAAACCCCTCGTCCACTGTTGTTTCCAGACTATCTTAAAATGCACCTGCCATGTTGTGCTGCCAAGTGGGATCTGCTTGGAAAGACCCTTCAGGAGCAGGGGGAGATGAGCTTCCCCATCTCTGTCTTCTGGTTTTGGGGAGCTGGCACCCTGCGCCTGCCCGGGGAGCCGAGACAGGGCTGCCCTGCGTGGGGCTGGGAGAAGTCAGCACATGGGGCGTGTGTTTGCCTTGGGAAATGGATCAGTATCTGTTTCTTGGGTCCTGAAAATAAAAAAAAAAAAATCAACAAAATAACAGGCTGGATGGCAGCTTTGGTTAAGGCTGAGGATATGGAAGAGAGGGACAAGCATGAAGGACTGCGTGGAAGAAGCTGGGGCTGCCGGGAACCTCTGGCTCTGACTGGAAGCCTCTCTGCTTGCCACAGCCTGCAGTCAAGCCCTGGAGGTGGCCACGGGGACCAGGCAGGGCTGGCCTGGCTCTCTGCCCTAGCACCAAAACCTCTTTTGCCAAACGCAGGCTCCGGGTGAGCGGGAGCTGGGCAGGGCTGGCTCTGCAGGGCTTGTGTGTCTGCCGGGCAGCGCCGGGGCCCGCTGCAGCCAGCGAGGGAACTGGCCGAGCCTCTCCAGGCAAAGCCACCACAACAGGGCCACCCTGTCCCCTGCCACCCCTCCCCGTGCCCTCCATGTCCCTGCTGTCCTGCCTCAGCAGTGGGCACTGGCAGCAGCTCGGGCATCCTCAGCCAGTGAACGCTGCCAGAGGGGAGGAAAGCAAATCCAGGCAGGGGAGGGGAAGGGGCTGTGGTCTTGGAGGAGGCAGGAGGGGCTCAGCCGGACCCTCGAGCAGGCACTCCTGGCCGGGCGAGAGGGCAGGGCCCTGGCAGGCTGCCTCCCTCCAGCTCCGCACCGTTTGCCCCTTCCCCAGCTGGGAAAGGCAAAGGGGGCTGAGCCAGATCCCCCCGCCCTGCCCGGTCCCCCGGCGAGGAGTTAAAAGCCGTGTCTTTCCGGGGATAACGATTCTATTATAAATAGCCCCATTAGCTACAACTAATGACAAAAATCCACCTCCTCTACTCCCCATAAGTTCTGTAAGTTATGGGCAATGCTACAGCCATTACTAAAAGCTGTTAACTTCATATCTGAATGAGGAAATATACACCACAGAACATTAAACCATTTATATTATATATATGTATATATATACTTTTTTTAAACTAATGACTTTAATGCCAAAACTTTGCTGAACCAAGAAAAATATGGGTTTAATGTTCTCTGTTCATTTTTTTCTTCTTTAAAAAAAATACAACCCAAAAAAAAGAAAGGGAAACTTATTAGTATGTAATGTTTGAGTCTATCCCATTTATACACAACATTGTAAACATATATAATCTATATTACATGTGCTTCATTTCTGCCTGGGTGTGTTTTTTTTTTCTTTAAACCTTTTTTTTATCACTAGAACACCACAAAAAACCGAAACAGAACCAAACCAAAAACCAAACCAAAATAAAAACAAAACAAAAAAACTGAACAAAGAACACAAGTTACAGGTTATTTAACATCTTTCTGTCAAGGGTCCCTTCCCCAGTCTCCTGGGGGCAGAGTGGTCAACAACACAGTCCAAAGGAGGGCTCATGAGCCATCCGCGATGTAAAGCCAGCTCCAGGGAACAGGTGGATGGGGAATACTGGTTTTAAAAAAGGGGACTTCACAACAAAGGGTTTGGTTTTGCCCGCTGCAGATGCTGAAGGAGGTCTCAACATGCGGGACCTGGGAGCCGAGGCTCCCCACTGCTCCTGTATCCTTGAGTCCATGTCTGGAGTCTCTGGTTTGTTTCTCCTTTAAATTTTAAAACGTCTTTTTTTTGTTGCTGTCGTTCTTCTTCCCCTTGGTGTGATGAGCTGAGCCGAGTAGCTGGGTCCCGCCCTCCCGCTGGGTCCTTCATAAGTAGATGCGCCGAAGGTCTCCGGGAGACGTGATGGTGTTACACTGGGGACAGAGCTTCTTGGCACCCTGCAACCGGCAGACGAGATGAACAGCGTGAGAGCATGAAGAAGGACAACCCACACGACCCTGTCCTTGGCCTGGGATCCCAGTGGGAGCAGCACAGAAGCAGGGGGAGCAAGGCCACCCCCCTTTCCCTCCAGGCAGGGCCATGCCCTCCCAACAAGGCACAAGCTGTGAGAAGGGGGATCCCAGCACCTTTCTTGCCTACCCTGCAAGCTCCTTGTCCTACTCCAGTCCCTGGCATGAGGCAGCTGGGCAGGGAGGAGCTCTGCAGGAGGCTGACACCCAGAGCCAAGCTCTGTCACCAAACTCAACAGCTCCACTTTGCAGACAGATCGGCCCAAGTACCCTGTCCTGCTGTGATGTCACCGCTGCCCACCAGGCTGATCTGCTCCTTTCTGCTTCCCTCGCTGAGCCAGTTCAGGTCACTGAGCAGGCAGAAAACCAACCCAGTTGGAACAAGTGCAATTTTCAGCTGGGATGACTGAACTGGTTCATGGCAGGGTTAGATCACCCTTTTCAGGAGAGCATGCCAGGGGACTACCTTGCCCATCCTGCAAAAAGCCCCAGAGCTGCTGGAATGAAGGAAAATCCCCATGCTGTCCCCTCCCCAGCTCACAGAGACGCTGCGGAGGCAAGTCTGTTCTGCCAAGGTGAGCTGAAACCAGCAAACTGATGTGAGCTGGGGCGAGGTAATGGGCAGCTGACGTGAACGCTACATGAAATAAAACGGGCTGATGTGCCATCTGTCACCAAGCCTGACAGCAAGAGGGTGTTAATAAGCCTCAGAATCGGGGTCAACATAAGCCAGTCATCATTAGATTGGCAGATGTGACAGACAGTTGATGGGAAAAATGACAGAACGATGGCTCTGCTGCGAGGCAGCCTCCCATCTACAGCACCAGTAGTGAAGGAAATTGGGATGCCCTGGCTTTCAACACCAGCCACAGCCTCAACACAACCCCCCAACACACAGAAGTGAGCACAGGCTCTGTCTGAGCACCCCGAGTTTTGCTCACTGGTGTCAGACAGGCCCTTCCATCAGCTAACGCCCAGTGCTCGGCGTGACAAGTGAGCTGACAGGGATGCAACATGCCGTGTGAGAGCCTGCTGGCTTGCATGAGGGCTTGCTGGCAGAACTGAAGCCTTTTGGTTCAGTGGTGCTGCTGCTCTACCTTAGCAGGTACCTTCAGTACCTGCAGCAGCAAGTGTGGCAGCTTGCAGGATGAAGACTGAGTGGCAGGGCAGGACCGTGACCTGCTACACTGCTTCGGTACTGCTACCTGCACCTGGGGACATCCCTAGCAGAGGAGCTGGCACTGCTGCTGACAGAAGGCAAGCACGCTTAGGAAAGGTCCTCTCTGCTCTGTGACAACGCCTCCAAAAACAGGACAGGGCTTTCTCCCCTGGAAGCTCCTTGGAATAAGGATGTTGAAGAGAGAATCCCAGGTACAGAGAATTTACATGGGTGCAAGTAATTCAGAAGGGTGCAGCTCCAAAGAGGTGCAAGTCATGTTTGCTCTGCAGTATTAAGTACTATCAAAAAGCCCCCACAGACCAGCCTCAAACCAGTCCCCTCCCTGCTCCCAGTGCACATTATTCCTGGCGGACATGGACTTTACATGCTTGCTGTTCCCTGAGCTTTGGAATTCTGAGCAACCAGGCTCCCATTGGATACCCCTTGCTGCCAGCAGCTAAGCTGCTGCCCCAACACAAGTGGGAACCATGGACACTGCACCCGAGATCTAAAACAGCCACACACAAAGTCCTCTTGAACTAGAGTTGAACGAAACACATAATGGACACCTTGGACATCACTCTTAGGGTGAGACTGGCAGTGGGACAGAGCACTGGTGGTGTGGATGGTGCACCTAGCTCTGCTGCTGATGCCCGTGGGCACATCCTTCTAGCTGTCTGGGACCTATCTTACCCCCTCTCTAACTACTGTGTCTGTTTAGATTTTCAGTGTTCTGGGGCAGGGACCATCTCACTGTGCCTGTGCAATGCACTGGGCAGCCCCATGCACCAGTCTTCACTGAGTGGACTCGGCATGCTGGGTTCTGGGAAGAGCAAGCACAAACCACAACTGGAAGGAAAGGCTTCAAACCCTGATGAAATCAAAGACTGACTGCACTGGACTTTAACAGAGCCTGTTTATACGAACACCCCTTTGCTTGTGCTCAAGACCAGAGGTTTGGATCTCCAGCAATAGAAAAAGGCAAGTTCTAACCCTGCACATCCCAGTAGAAACTTCCTGCAGCAGCTACAACAGGTAGGAGAAAAAAATTCAAACATCTACCCCTTCTGCCACCTTTAAACCCCTTGTGGGCTGGGCTACATAGCAGCACTGCCAAGGGGGGTGGCTCACTAATCTGGATGCAAATGCCACAAACCAGCCTGTTTCAATAGAGTCCCTGGTCAGGCCTGCATCACCATGAAGTTCTCTGGTCCTCAGAGGTGCCTGTTGCATCTGGTTGGCCTTTTGGCATCTTCTTGGTAGCTGAAGGGTCCCATAGGAAGTGGCAGGGAGGTGCTGAAGGATTAACTCACAGTGTGTTATCAAAGGTGCAGCAGCTGGCAGCTGCCCATTTGAGCTTTCCTGTATGCCCAGACAAGCAGAAGTGTGCATGGGGACTTTAAGGCATTCCAGATGTGACTACTGCACACATCTGTGTCTACGCTCTCTTTCCCAAGTCAGGCACAGCTTATTGGCATGAGGCAGAAAAACATCCAACCAAGTAGCTGGAGCTTCTACCTCTCTGGACAATGCACCAGGGAGAGGTACCTTCTGCAAGAGCAGTCCCCTGACCCATCAAATGCCTCAGCCTGCCTTCAGTCTCGGACAAAGGATGAAGGAAAGTGCTTGCTGCCACCTAAAACCATGTCCCCCTACTCCTCAGTGCTCCTGTGCAGTGCTGAACAGCATTTCAACAGTTATTTTCTTCTAGCTCTGCTGAAGTTGGAGGTGTTTGGCTGCAGGTGGGAGGGGAAGAACACTGAACCCCTTCAAGTTCACTTTTGCTAAAAGCAAACCTCAGCTGCTGCCATCTCACTGTCTTGCACCTTGTGCTCCGTTCTGGGATTTGGAGGTGGACTGAGACAGCTGCAAGCAGATGTGTGTGACCCTTAGCAAGGGCAGCATCACTAACACGGACTAGACAGCTCAATGTGGGAAATTTTGGAAGGACAGATGCCCAGAAAGCCACCCTGCCCAAGTCTTTCCCAAGGCTGTGCAGATGCTTGCTATAAGCACAAGTCCTCCGCACTCAGCCCACAGGACGACAGAACAAGCCTGGCTAAACTGATTGCGGCCTTGCTTCTCTCTTCAGTGGAGAAGCAAGGTCAGGTATGCAATTCCTTCACACCACAGGGAACAGGAAGATGCATGGATTTATCCTGCCAGACGCCAGGATCTCTGTCCTGGAGATCTACTTTCTGCACCACATGCTGATGGCTTTAGGGGGATCCATTCTCCCCACCTAAGGCTGAGCTGCACATGGGCAGCCAGGGCCAAGTTTTTGACCATGTCAGAAGGCAGAACTCAACCACATGTAGTTGGCCCATTCTGTGCAAAAGCTACACGACTGCAGATTGAATTAGGGCAGCGGTGGATGTTACTTCACCTGCAGGTGAGCTCATCTTGAGCTCTGAAGCCCAGGTACATTGGAGGGAACAACAGCATCCCAGAGACCTTCAGCAGCCTGGCCTGAACGCTGTGCAGGCTGACTGCACGTGGCGTGCTGGGCCCAGGTCTCTGGGTCTCCCCAGTACTTATACTTGGTATTAAACAGTTCAAGCAAAAATAATGACTTTGGACCCTTGGGGAAGCCTTTTTCTTTCCTTCTTTATTTTAAAATAAAACTGTCATCCTCTGCACACATAAGTATGCGTGTTACACTCAGAACTTACTCTTGAATTTTTTTGGTTTAGATTGAAATTGCTTAGAACCTTGTTCCTTACATCTCACTTTTTGGTGTAGGTGTACATTTATTGGCACTAGCATTTAAGCTCTCCTCTCTTGTAGAGAGGCACATAAGCTTGTACACACACACATGCTGGCACAGGCACAATGAAAAAGCGTTTGCTCCCCCACTGCTCACCTGCCAGCTGGGGTTACTAAACTTTTCCCTTGAAATAAAAATGCTGTGGAATAATAAGTCCCACCTGTCGGCCATTTCTTTCTTTCTTTTTTTTCCAGGTCCTTCTGCTCCTTTCATCATAGCTTCATGGAAAAGCCTTGATGTGTTATAGCTGCGTGTGCTAGAGTAAAGGCCACCTCAGCTTTTCCATTATAAACCCCAGTTTTGAGGGGTTTATAAAACTCTGCTGCAAGAAGTTTGCTCCAGGGCTGTTACAAAGCAAAGAAAAGGGGCTGGAACCAGGATGGAGTTTATTTTTTCTCCTCCTTTCTTAATTAAAATTTGGCAAGTGATTGATCCACAATACAGGCTAATCACTTGGGGTAGTAGTTTGAAAAATACATTAACGAGAGCCGAGATGTTGAGAAGTCGTTAGGGCTCACACGGTGCCAGGAAGGACTGGAGTATTTTGTCTTAAAGTTGCCTCTTAAAAAAAAATGGCGTGACGTCTGCTATAAATTGGCTAAAGCAAGAACACTCCAAAGGAAGGATTTAGGCCCTTCCTGCTGTCCTGTGGGTCTAAAACCGGGCAATTTCCAAGCAGAATATGCTACCAGACACAGAGAATAAAGACACACACACACAGAGCAACTTTGCCTATGCAGTGCCACCATCAAACCTGGGCTCAAAGCTTGCCTATTTTATAGGAAGGAAAATCAAAGTAGAGAGATGACAGGAGAGACCTGAAGCAAGAGCCAGCTTCTGCCAGGGGCGGATGCAAACTCCAAGATCCAATTCTCAACCAAGGCAACAGTCCCGTCTCCCACCCATGCCTCCACACGAAGTGGTAGCTTCTTCTCTGCAAATGCTGATTCCCAGAGAAGCAGCTGTTCACCACTGTCGTTGTGGGGTACCTCTCGTTGTCAGGCAGTGGGGTTAAAGCGACCAGGAGAGCAACCTTTTTCATAGAGCCTCCTCAAAGAGTGGAGCTCACCCCTACACATTATTAGAGGCCAAAACTAATATGTTTAGTTTAACTAATGTTAATGAATAATTGGACAACCTCATGGCTGACAGGAACATCATGAAGGATCAAGTGTAGCATCCTCCATGCAGCTGTTAACTCAGGAGATCCCTATATTGCTGGAAGCACTACGGAATCGCCCAGAAGGACTGCTCTGTATCTGTGCTGTTTCTTACAGAAATGCTCCACCCCACATGGATATACGGTATTGCAGACCAGAAAAAGCATCAAAGCTAAGAACGCAATAGTGTAATCTACCAAAGATATAAATGTGTCAGCTGCAGAGCATACATATCTATTGATAGATCCCCTGGAAGCATATTCTGTGATGAAGAAGGCTTTTTAGAAGTGATTTTTTCCTGCTCTTGCAGTAGTAATTTTCAAATAAGCTCAAGACAGGCAAGCACAAGCCTGAGGTCAGCAAATACACGTAGGAAATGCTGGATCTGGCTCATACTGTGCCTGCTCAAATAAACCTGCTCTCTTTCAGCCCCTGCATGCCTGCACCCACCAACAGCTCCATCACTGGCAAACAACAGCCTGACTTAGCTTTTAACTTCATTTACTTCATGAGGAAGGATACCAGGGTTTGGGAGATCACAGAACTACAGCTCAGAGGGACATCAAGAACTCAACCCCAGCAAGATCACCTCAATCTGAATTACAACTGATGGGACACACACCAAACCTGTTCTCACAAACCTCCAAACCTCCTCAGCAAAGCACTGCCAGCAGCATGCCAATCTCCACCATCATAGCATTCTTCCCAGAGAAGGAAAATCTGAATCTCACCCGCTAGTAGCTATAGGGTCCCTCTTGGTTAATGGGGAAGGATAGAGAAGGGGCAGACAAACCTCTTTCAGCGGGAGATGCATCCCGCCCGCATCACCCAGTGACTCAGGGCTGAAGTCCAACAACCAGCTGTGGATGGACAGCTGCCGTGAGGATGGTCAACACTCAGGGAAATGAACCCCACCTCCTGCTGCCCAGGCTAAGCCTCCCTCCTGCAACACCATTTCCTCTCCTGTCTCTGAAGAACCTGCACGTGTTTTCAGGGGTTTCTAAAAGGGATCACAGGGAAATCACTCCAGGCTTGTGTCCCAGTTTCTGTGTAACCTGAAGACATCAACTAGGTCTCTGCGTGCAGGGTGGAGGAATGAAAAACATCACTGTGTTGAGTACCCCAGACAACTGGCAAGTAGGGAGCAGCAAGCTCACTGGTGTGGTCTGACACAACAGTACAAAACCAGCCAGCAGACACAGCTGACAAAACAGCTCATATGATTTCCTGGGAGCCCAGACATGATCACATGGCCTCAAGCAACCCATTTTTGTACTCCTCTCCCCTGCCTCCATTCCTGTTGTGCCTACAACCACAGAGCTGCCCACAGCGTATGCAGCGTACCGCACACCTTTAGCCTGTGGCACCAGGACCACAGCCCTCAGGCAGAACTGTCTGTGCTCACACAGCAAGTGGAAGGAGAGAAAACCACTCATCACATCCTGATGCTGGGTGAAGGGATGGTTCCCCCCTTTCTCCATGGCCATCCTAAGGAGGGATGTCTAATTAAGCAGCTTCTATTAGCCAGCGCCTCAGGGCCAACTCAGCAAGAACCATGATCTTGGTTGTCTTAAGCTTTCTCCAGGGTATCTTTCTCTGACCCCAGTCTTTCCTTCACGTTAATCCAACACGACAACAGGAGACAGAAATGGAGTCTGCTCTGGTGAATGTTTCATCTCCAGAACTTGGAGCCAGTTTGATGCACTGAGCTCTAGTATAATGGTACCTAAGTGAGAGAGCCAGCAACCATTTGTAGAGTCGGTGGTTAAAAATGTCTCCCCCTCTCCCTTAGAAACAGAACAGTTATAATTTGGAATTGGACATAAGGAGCCAAAAGTGCAAAAACTATATATTCAGAAAGCCTAAGTGCTTTAAAGATCCAATCTTCATCAGTGCTCTAGACACGATGGAAGTCAGAGGATACTAGAAATGCTCAGTTCATCGTAGCACTGTATCGTAGAAAATGTTTAAACCTTAAACCTTTTTAAAAACCACTTCACCTCCTCTGGTCCACAGACAGATGTGAACATCAGATTTCACCCTGTCTTCAATACCCTGCAGAGGTTTAGAAGTGCTCCCAGGCACTCTGAGCCTTCAGTTCCAGGGCCTTGTTCAATACATGGTCCTCCCTCTCTCTTTCAGACACACTCACTCTAATTTAATATTAGATCTCGGCTGGGCATATAAACCACAGGCGCAGAGGGGAAAGGGGACTTTTCACCAGCAGGGATGGCAGATCTCCAGAATGTTCAAAAGGGGCCGGAAGCCCGACACAACCCGTCCGCCCCAACTCCTATTAACTCCAACAAATTGTTTATTGCACAACAGAAGAAAAATGTTGCCCCTCTTCCCCAGCCAAGTCTTTCCATGTGTGCTGCACGCGCAGGCTCCCTCCTCCTGCCCCCACTGGGGAGCCAGCTTTATACCCAGGGAAAGGTAACAGCAGCGATTATTACACACACTATCCCACAGCTCCTCGCTTGTTAAAAAAAACAAGAGTCTCTTTTGTGCCCGAAATAAAAGGAGATACCTTAATTAGAACAATGCAGGTTGGTGAGCATTAAACACTGAGCCCAGCTGCTGTATGCCATTAAATTCATAAAAAAGGAGGGGGGAAGGAGGGCAGTCTTAACGAGATTACACACATTGACTTTGATCAAGACACAAAAGCACCAAGGCGTTCCAGGGTTTTTATTGCTGTCTTCGGGCTACATTTTAATGGTTACATTAGAAACATGCGAACACAGGCTGGGAGATTTTTTTGAGACGGGAGAGGGAGTGCAAGCATGCCTTGTGAAAAGGCCTGGTTTAATAAATTGGGGGCTGCAGGGAGAGGCTAGGACTGGGGAACACATGAGTAGCCACTTATTAATTGCTTCCCCTCTGCAAGTGCCAAGTCCTAATACGATGTCTTGCTGGACTATTCCCATCCTGCCTGCCTGGCTGGCAGAAGAGCCATGTGTGGATAGCACACAGACAGCTCCACTCCACCTTCCTCACGGAATTCTAGCAGGGAGATGGTTGCCCCTCAGCAAGGGTAAATGCTAACCCCGCAGCACCTGGAGTGGGGTTGCCTCATTCTCACAAACAGCCATGACCGCTGTACATGAAACAAAAGGGCTTGACTGAAGGTGACCCAAGTTGCTGCTGAGCCTAAGGACAGCCTGAAATTGGTGCCACAGATTTAGAACGTAACTTGAGGCTGCTGGGAAGAGGAGAGGACAAAGACTTGAGAATGAAGAAAACAAAAAAGAAATTAGTGTTTTATCCTCTGCTTGTAGTACTGCTGAAGCGAAGATTACTCTTCACTTAGCAAAGGTGGCAAAGCACACATTCATCCAAACACCTCACAGCTACGTACCCACATATGTGTCTTTTATAACATGCTGCTAAAATGTTTACAAAAGCTTGTATAATCTAAATAGTGACGGGGTGTAGCTGAAGAGCTGTAAAATACAGCCCAAGGGATAGCCAAGTTATTGAGTTGCTATTAGTACTCAAGCCCACAGGCACTTCACCATCCTGGTAACTTTTCTTGGACAAGACTTTTAAAAGGCAGGATTTAAAGGAGCATGATCAGCTTAATCGTAATTCCAAGCACACAACGTGTTCTATAAAGTAGATTTTGTAATGCCTTACAGGAACAGTTTTTAGGAGTGGCATTCCCTTACATTTTTTGCAACTCAACACTGTATCATCTTGCTAACAGGAAAACTAGAAAGCACAACTGACTGTTTTCCATTCCCCAACCTGGGCAAAATGAAAGCTTGAAAATCAGCTGCACAGGGGACATTAAAGGCTGATTATAAAGCCCACAGTTTTAACACAGGAAAGGAAAACACTTTATGTAATAACACCTTAAATTTTAACCCGATGTCCTTCAATACATGTATAAATTACTACTGCACTAGGTTGCCTATTCAATGTTCAAGGTAGTCCCCAAGTCTACCAAACAGAATGGCATATGCTTGAAAACTGCACAGTGCTATTTCAAGTAATCTCAAAAATACAGATTAATATTCATATTCATAAAAGCTCCCTTCCATATCCTCTATCCTGAAGATGATTCCCTTTGCTTCAGGGGAATATTAGGTTTCTCAGAAGCTACCCATTCCATGAAATCTCAGTGGATTTGGCCTCCATTCTCACAGCTTTACCTCTCTGCATGGATGCCCCACAGGAAATTAGTGTAAGGCAAGGCTGTCTTTGGCACAGAGCTCTTACATGAGCAATGGCTGTCCCCACAGCAGCAGTGGAGCAAGCAAGGGGGCAGGACTGCACTTTGGTCATGATGATTCAAATGAAACTGCCTCAAGTCAAAGCTAGAGTGGGATGTTAAACAGTAAGGCTTGGGAAGTCTGCATGCACAGCACTCAGACTGTTTAAAATAAAGCAAAAAGCACTTTCCCTATGTCAGAAGTGAGGAAAAAGCCTGTAAATCAACAAGAAAGTAGCCAAGAGCCTCACCAGAGTCCGCAGCCAGCATTCTTCACAGTGCACATGCCAGCACTGAATGGAAGTCAAGGGCATTGTGTAGGAGTCCTGAGGAGAAGAAGCAGACAGGTCATTTCCACAGCAGGGATCAACTGATTCTCCACTCTCAATCCCATCACAACACCTTTCTCCGTGGGTAACATTGCCTTGTATTTTGTATTAAAAAAATCATAAGCTTGCATAATATGTAAGTTTGTATTTTTGTAATGTTTGTGCAGTAGAGGCAGAAAGTCTCCTGCAGACCATTTTTCTGGCTTCCCAGAACTCCTGTTGGAAGCCCATAATCCACTCAAGTGGTGACCTGGCTCAGCACAGTTATCACAAGAGCATCTGAAGTTGCTGTAGCCACCTGCCATTATTCTCATCAGAAGGGTCACCAGATCATATAAAAACCAGTGACAGGGTAAGATTAACCCTTATCACAACACTTAGCTCTGCAGGAACTGCTTAACTACATCCCAAGAATGCTGCTATTTCAGCCCACATGCCTTCTCTTGAGTACTTCCCAGCATTGCTAATAAACCTCTGGAAATCAGCAGCAAGCTGTTGTCCTTCTGTGGGGTGAGAGAGGGGGACCGCACTCCCATACCTACAACTCATGAGCTGGGAGAGAAAGCACCATGCATCAAGCTGAAGTTGCAGAAGGAGCCCTCTGCCAAGCAGAATTTTCTCCTGCTATTAGTAGAATAAAAACTCAACAGGAAACGCAAAGCTTTGCAGGCTCAGACCATCAGAGGGAGCTGCTGCCCTTCTTTAAGAAGGCCATAGCATCACTACAGAGCAAGCAGGACCTCAACAACTTTTAAATGCTCAGGCAACGTTTCTGTTCCCAAATCATATGGTGGGGCTCAGATCACAGATTCTGCTCTCTCCTGTGTATATAAATCTGCACATACAGGAAGAGAACGCTGGTATCTGGTAATTTTCAATAGGGAGGCTGAAAGTCTTTTGAAGTTGGGGCTTTCTTGCCCCTGATACAGATGGGCAGCTACAAATACCAGTGAAACAACAGAATGTGTACAAAAATTTCAACTGCTAAAAGACCTAACATCTTCACTTGGAAGTCTAATTGGTGTACAGGGACAAAGATAAGTTCCCCCACTCCATCCAAAAAAGAAGAAAAGCTTCTTCCCTTCTCAGCAAAGATACCAAGGTATTTCTGATTCATTACCACAAGTGGAGTGCTACTCACCATGCAAATGAGACATTTATAGCGGTCCCCACGGGAAAGCTGCCTTTCTAACTCACGGACACGAGCCTTTAACGCTTCAAATGTTGTCACTGCAGAGTCTTCTGTAATTCTGAAAAAGATGATGGAGAGTGAGCATCACTGAGCACACAAGATTAAGAGTTTTGGGGAAAAAGGATCCCACAACAGGTACCGCACAGGAAATGGCAGCATTTGAACTAATACACCCAATTTGGGATTAAGGATTCCTGAAAAGCCCATTCTCTGAAGTGTCCTACTAAACACTTCCAAACACATCACAACAGAACACAATGAGGCTGGGGTTGCCAGCTTCACATATAGCAAGTTTCTGCAAGACATGGACATTTGAAGAACGGGTTTTTTTTTTTTTGGTCTGTTTTTTTGTTTTCTGCCTCTTTTCTTGTCTCCCTTAAGAGATTCCTGAGGACCAAATGCTTTGGGCAAAGTTTTCTATGTTGCTCTAAAACTGGTGAGAGAGAACTTCTGTGGGCAAGAGAAGCTGCTGTTCCCCTTAGAGAATGGAGGTCTTTGCTAGCCATCAACCTTGTGAAACACAGAATCAGCTCATTATACAGGATCAGCACAACGCTTTTATACGAGAAACCCCTAGCTGTTTGGGTTCTAATGCTGAAAAAAAAGAAGAAACCAAAAGCAATGGACACCGTGCCAACAGGGTAGCTATAAAAGCAGCTTTACAATCTCTGCTTTCCCATTTCCTAGGGTCACTTTTGATGGGCAGCATTATCTCTTTTGTCACAGAGGTGCTGTGCTGAGGGCAGGAAAGTGTATTTTCATGGTTCTGCAAGGCTGGTGAAAAGAGAAACTCGCCAACCTAAAAGCAAGGGCAGACAGCAATGCTTAGCAAATGAGATGCAGGGAGCATTACCGACAAGGATGTGTCACTCCAGCATGCTGCAAAATCTGATTTCTACACAGTGCAGACGTAGGGAGGGGCCCTCAAGCATTCCCCAGAAAAGGTTTAGAGTATTTTGTTGACATTAAGGCTTTCGCTCTTGCAAAAAACCAAAATAAAGCAGCAATTCTCATGTATGTCAGTGAATTTCAGGCCTGTCCAAGCAGACTCTAGCTCAGAAGAACCTGAAGAATCGCAGAAGATGCACCAACCATCAGTGGCAACTATGTGTTCTAACCCTTTTGAGGACAATTCATCAACAAGTGACTAAAACATGGGTTCAGTGGAATTACTACAACCCATAAAGTGAGTTGCAATCTAAGCATTCCTGCAGCACACACACACTTGTTCCTCTGTGCATTAGTCACTTGTCACCAGCATGAAGGGAGCACCTGAGTTGCATCCCATGAGGTGATTCTGCTGGCTTTTCCCAAGGCTCTGAAACAGAGCGAGTCGAAAAGATCTTGAGTGATTTTTCTAATTATGACACTTCAGAAGAAACTGGAGCTGCAGGAGTGCATATGGTTAAGTACCAGTGTTATAAAGCACCTCCAACTTCAGTCCTACCTTTGTACAGATCAGACACGCTCTACAGGAGCTAACCAAGGAGAGATCTTTATCAGAGATTTATTGCAAATGACAGTTGCTAGGAAATGGTAACAATTTTAAAACTGAAAAAAAAAAGGCAAAGAAATACACGTCCCATGATAGCCTGGTGGGTGAGGACTGCCTGGGGACGGGGACACTGTGGATTCAAGTCTTGGCATCAATAAATATTCTTTGGAGCAAAATGAAAGAGTTTCAGTGGGAGATAGTGCATCCTGCTGTGAAACACCCACCTGATCCTGCTCAATGGCATAAATTATTTTCTTATCCCAGCTTGGGCTCTCACCCTTAAGGAAGAGTTGTTAGTGTTTCCAAAGTCTAGAAATGTTTTGTCCAAGGAAGAAACAGAATCATTTATAGGTTGAAGATTATTGTTGGATGAGAAAATTGTTTCCTTTCCAGTCTGGGAAGGCATCAACAAGCTGGTGCTGGATGAAGGCTCAGCTGAATTTGACTTTCTGGAATCATTCCTCCTTCCCGCATGCATAAGGGCACTGGAGGTGTAAAGGCAGCGAGTGTGGATCCTGCCCAAAGCAGTGGCAAGCAGAACCTCAACCCCTGCTAAATTCTCCTATTACTATCTGTGGAGCTATCCCATCCTCTTCTGATGGGCAGCTCAGCAAGGAAAGGGAAAAGCTGATTCCTTGAGCAGATCCAAGCAAAGGCCAATTCATCCCCAGTCCCAGCCCAATAACAGTCAGAGCTTGAAAAGGAAAAATTTGCCACTGCAACAACTAGAGGAGATAGAAAATGGTTTGTTTATAGAAGTCTAAATGGCTGACCCCCATCGGCCAATTTCGGAAAGTCTCTGAGATAATCGCACCTGTCCAGTAATAAACGAATGAATCAGAAAAGGAGGCTGAATAGAGGTATAAGCAATAATGCTCAGAGGCTGCCTGATACAATGGCCAATCAATAGGAGGGCTGTAGATCAGGGTGCTAGTTAGCTGGAAAATTACCGCACCGCTGCGTGCGTCACGCTGTAGGGATCCTGGACAATCAATGTGGGAGGTATTGATTTAGTTATTATCACTTCATACGCTCCAGACATTGTTAAATATACATTTATTAACAAGACTGGGGTGCATTGGTAAGAGAGGGAGCGTTAGTCACTGCGATATCTCCCAGCGCTGATCAAAGCTCAGATGTGACAGACTTTAAAGTCCACGCTATCCCTGCCAAGTGTGCGCTCAGGACAAATCCCAAGGCACAGCGTAGCGCTGAAGATGCAGCTCCTGTCTCACAGGAGAGAGGCTTTGGCCACAAGTGAGTATTTTGCACTTGAGATTTCAGGAAAGCCTCTTGGAACAGCAGCAACCAGGGACGTGGTGGCCAAGGGTCAACCCAAAGTGAGCGATAATTGCATGGTTGCTTCCGAAAAGCTGGAGGAAATGAGGTCAAGGGAAATAGGGAGAACATTAGTAAATAAAGGAAACTGGAACTACCTCCAGGGATGGAATAAAGACAAGAGTCACTTCCCATGTGTCTGGCTCCCGTGGTGGCCAGCACACTTGGGACACATGCCATTCCATTTAGTGACATTTTACCGTCAACCTGCTGCTTGTATCCTAAAGATAAGCATCGCTTAGGAGCAACTCTTCCTCTTGGGAACTCCCTCAGGCTTCCCTCTTGTGTGCACACCTCGTGTGCGCTTGCCCGGACACAGCTGGGAGCAGCTTGAGCTGTATTTTTACGGGGTAATGGCAGGGTGGGGCGAGGGTCAGAAAGCCAAGCTCCATGGACAGGGTAAGGCTGTGTACAAGTTACCCTGCCAAGGGAGGCAAAGGGAAATACAGGGAAGAAGGAAGTGGCTTCCACAGCCCTGCTCTCCCTGCTTTGCCCTGACCTCATGCTGGATGTAGACGGACTCTTTTTAACAATTTTGCGCCTCAGTGCTCTAATTTGACGTGTTTGGATAATGTCATTTATCAGCCTCCAGAGAGATCTGCTGAGCATAACTGCTGCCAAGAGCAACACCTTGAGCCTCAGTGCTGGTGCTTCTCCAGCAGGTGCCAGCGGCCTCACTGATACCTGAATTGTCTTCCCTGACTGAGGACGTATCAAGAGGGCACATCCGCGCTCTACTCACTCTGGATCTATGTCACAAACAGGGGAGCCTGAGTAAAAATGTTGAGCAAGAACATGAAGGGAGGGCTCCTCACGGACAAAACTTGGTTCTGCACTTCTCTCTGGATATTGTGGTTAACTCTTCAACAGCTTGGCAGTCACAGTTGAGGATGCTGGGTACCAGGGAGCAATACTATGAGACTGAGCAGACAGCATATGATAGTTTCCAGTCTTTGTGCCCAACACGTGTCTTTCTACTGTTCATAGCATTTTCCCCTGAGCACTGAAAATAAGAACTAACTTTCTTCCTCTGAGCAAATCCTTGCTTCATTCAGGTAAAAAGCCAAAAGACAGTCGCAAAAATACTGTGGAGGAGGAAAGAAGCCCTATCCGTATCTTTGAGCCACCACTCAGCAATCGCCTCCTGGGAAATCTCCCCCTGGGAATCAGCTGCTCCCTCTTTGTAAAAAAACTTTAAACCAAACACTGGTTATTTGTTAAACATTAGCATGCATGTGATCTTTGTTTCTCCAAATTAAATCGAGCAATTCCTACCCGCTGTCCCAGTGGGCAATCACAAGCAATTCCGTTAATTAAATTATCTCTGATTCTGCAGCCCTGGAATCTCTCAATTGACTAAGTCTGTGCTTTATCATCAACAAAATACTGGACCAAAAAGGAAACAAAAAAATGCTGATGCCAAAGTCATTGGCTTCAGTTAACCCTTCCCAGCTGGATATTAAGGGCTGCTCAAGAAACTGTTGGACTGGAACAAGCCCAAGAGTGAGAGCCCCGTACCAGAGACACCAGTAGCAGCTGTTCACTTGTGTTTCTTTTCCATTGTACAGAAAGAACCAAAACACCATACTATCACAGCCTCCAGCCTATTTGAGAGTCACAGGAAGATGCAAACCTGTTAGTTAGCTATTGAAGAAGCAGAAAACCCCCTCAAAGATCAGTAAAAGCCCCTGCAAATACCCCATTCTCCCCTTACCCAGATCTCACTTGATGTTGAAGAGTCTCCATAAAACATTCCCCTTTGGTTTATTTCAACTGGATATAAATTTTCCTTTCTTCATAAATGGCCACACTGTACACAGCATTCCATAAATTTTTACAATTCCACTGTTTGTATGTACCTTGTAAAAAACGCTTAGCGCTGATTAAATGCACCACCAATAAAATTTCATGGGCTACTTTTGACACTTGATATTCTGACCTCCTTTTCTCTTTCTCATACACTTATTTTTGCTTTCGTATGCCTGTAAACAGAGAGTGCCAGAGGGGAAAATGTACAGTACCACTGACAAACCCGAGAGTGATGTCTTTATTTTTAAACAAAGCCTTTATCTTCCCTTGTCCGAGGCGGAGAACCTGATCCCAGCAGAACACACATGCTCTTTCCCTGCACCAGGGGCAGAGGTCAGGTCGCTAGCAGCTTACATATCATAAATATTAGAAACAGACTGGTCGATGCTTTGAAGGCAAGCTAAACTAAGATTCCA